TTAAGTTTAGGATAATGGATAATATTAGATGTAGGTTTAGGGTTAGGGTTTCGGTTTGGGTTAGAGCTAGTGTTAGGATTACGTTTAGGGTAAGTCTTAATATTTCAGCTAAGTTTAGGGCTATTCAAGGGTAAGGTTTCATGTTAGGTCTAGGGTTAAATTTATGTTTAAGGTTAGGTTTAGTGTTAGGGATAGGGTTATAATTAGGGTTAGGGTAAGGGTAATGGATAGGGTTAGAGGTAAAGTTTTTGCCAGGATTAAAATTAGTATTAAAGCTAGGATTAGCATTAGGGTTTAGGATGGGGCTATTGCTCTGTTTAGAGAAAGGGTTTTCCTTGAGCTAGGGTTAGGTCTAAGGCATGTTTTAGGGTTAGGATTAGTGTTAGGGCTATGATTGGGGATAGGGTTTTGCTTAGGACTAAGTTTAGGCCTAGGATTAGGGCTAGGTTTTTTGTTAGGGTTAGGGCTAGGGTTAGAACTATGGGTAATGTAACAGCTAGAGTTATTATTAAGGCTAGTTTTAGGGTTAGGGTTACGGCTAGGTCTAGTTTTAGGTCTAAGTTTTGGCTTAGGGTCAGGTTTCGAGCTTGGTTTAGCCTTAGTGTAACGGTCAGAGTTCAGGATAGGGTTAGGGTTAAGGTTATAGCCCGAATTTGGACTAGGTTTAGGTCTAGGCATAGGGTTAGTGTTTGGTTTAGTTTAAGGGTTATTGTGAGGGCTATGACTAAGTTTTTGTTGAGGTCTAAGGCTAGAGTTATAGCTATTTTTAGGATTAGCTTTAGGTCTAGGGCTAGTGTTAGGGTTAACTATAGATATAGGGTTACCAGTAGGGCTAGTGTTAGGATTTGGCTTAGGGATAGGGTCAGTTTTAGACCCACGGTTAGTGTTAGGGTCAGAATATGGGTCAGGGTTAGGGTTAGAGCTAGAATGAAAGATAGGTTTAGGATAGTAATATGGTAACAGTATAAGTTGGGCTAATGATTAGGGTTAGTACTAGGGTTAGCATTTGGTTTAGGTTTTGGCTTTTGGTAAGGGAAAGGGTTAGGGCTAGGGTTAGGGTTAATGCTAGTGTGAGGGTTAATATTTGGTTTATACCTAGGTTTAGGGCTTAGATTACGAGTAGAATTTGTGTTTGGATTAGGGGTAGGCTTAGGACCATGACTAATGTATGAACTAGGGTTATAATTAGGGCTAGTTTTATGGTTAGGGTTAAAGCTAGGTATAGTGATAGGCTTAATTTAAGGCTAGGGTAATGTTTAGAGCTAGAATTAGTGTTAGTGTCAGTGTCAGGTTCAGGGTTAGTTTTAGAGTTAGGGTTAGGTCTAATTGTAGGGTTAGACTTTGGTTTAGAATAAGGGTTAGTGTTAGGACTATGGCTTGGTTTTGTTTTATGATGAGGGCTAGGAGTAGTTCAAATTATAGGACTACCATTATTGTTAGGACAAAGTTAGGGTTTGGTTTAGGCTTTTGGTTTCAGTTAAATTTAGAGTTAGGTTTATATTTAGAGTTAGGATTAGGGCTAGTACAAAGGATAGAACTAGCGATAGGGCTAGGGCAAGTGTTAGTCTTAGGACTAAGGTTAGGGTTTGGATAGGACTAAATTAGGGCTAGGATTAGTGCTAGGCTTAGTGTTATTGTTAGGCCTAGGGTTAGGGGGATGGGTTAGGGCTAGGTTTAGGGTTATGGTTAGTTTTCAGGTAAGGGATGGGGTTATAGATAGGTTTAGAGCTAGGGAAGTGTTAGAATTAGGGTTAAAACTTGGGTTATGGTTTAGGTTAGGGCTAGAGCTAATTTCAAGTCCAGCATTATGGTTAAAATAGTTTTAGAGTTAGGTTTATGGCTACATCAAGTGTAATGGTAGGTTTAAGATAAGGGTCAGGTTTAGATCTAAGGTTATTATTATGGTCAGGATCATTATTAGTGTTTGGGATAGGTCAGGGTTTAATGTTAGGGCTTGAATTAGCATCAGGGTTAAAATTAGTGTAATGATAGGGTTAGGTTTAGTTTTCAGGTTAGGTTTAGGGTAATGAATAGGGTTATGTGTAGGGATAGGTTTAGGTTTAAACCTAGGGTTAGCATTAGTGTTAGGGTTATGGTTAGGGTAATGGATAAGGTTGGAGCTAAGGTTATGGCTAGGGTTATGGTTACAATTATTGCTAGTGTCAGGGTTAAGTTTAGGGTTAGGCTTAAAGCTATGGTTAGGGCAAAGTTTAGGGCTAGGTTTTGGGTTAAGTTAAGGCTACGTTTAGGGTTACGTCTAATATGAGTACTGAGATTACGATTAAGGCTAGTTTTATTGTTAGGGTTATGGCTAAGTCTAGTGTTAAATTTAGGTTTAGGGTTAGAGTAATGTTTAGAGCTAGGGTTAAGGTTAGGTCAGGTTCAGTGTTAGTTTCAGTTTTTGGCTTAAAACTCAAATTAGGGCTATGGTAAGTGTTAGATGTAGGGTTAAGGTTTGGTTTAGGTTAAGAGTCAGGGTTAGGGCTATTACTTGGTTTTGTATTAGGGCTAGGGCTATAGTTAGGACTGGTTTTATGATTAGCATTGGGGTTAGGGTTAGGGCTAGTTTTAGGTTTAGGTTTAGGCTTATGTTTAGGGTTAGATTTAGATGTAAGGTTAGATCTATGGTTAGGGCTAGAACTAAGAAAATGTCTAGGGTTAGGGCTAGTGTTAGAGCTAGGAATATGGTTCCAGTAAGGGATAGGGTTAGAACTATTTTTAGGGCAAGGGTGAGATTTAGACTTTGTCATAGGGCTAGGTTAAGATGAGTGTCAGGGATACATCTAAATTAGGGCAAAAATTAGAGCTAGGGTTAGTGTTAGGGTTAGGTCCAGGTTTAAGGTTAGGGTTATGATTAAGGCTATGTTTAGGGCTAAGATAAGGCCTAGGGTTTGTTTTAGGGTTAGGGATAGGATAATGTCTAGGGCTAATATCAGGTCTAGGGTTACCATTAGAGATATTTTGGAAGTTAGGTTTTTGGATAGGTCTAGTGTAATGATTAGGTTTAGAGTAAGGGTGAGGTTTACAGCTAGGGGAATTACTAGGGTCATGTTCAGAGTTATAGTTTGGTTTAGGTTTGAGTTTATGGTTAGTGCTCGAATTGGCATGAGGTTTAGATTATTATTACAATAACAGGGTTAGGTTGAGGTTGCAGGTTAGGTTTAGGATAATTGATATGGTTGGGGTTAGTGATGGAATTAGTGTTAGGCCTAGGGTAAGCATTAGGGTAAAGTTTATTTTTAGGGTAATGTATACAGTTAGAATTTAGTTTAGGGCTAGGGTTATGATTAGGATTAGGTCTTGAGTTTGGGTTCGGGTAAGGGTTAGAAACAGGGTTATGTTTAGTTTTATGTTTAGCATAAGGGTTAGGTTCTGAGCTCTGGGTAGGGCTAGAGCAAGGGTTAGGTTAAAGTTCAGGTCTAGGGATAGAATTATGGTAGTTTTAGGGTTAGAGTAAGGGTTATGGCTAGGATTATTATTAGGGTTAGGGTTAGGTTATTTTAATGGATACAGTTAGATTTAGGTTTAGGGTTAGGATTAGGGTAAGATTTAAGTTTAGGGTTAAGGTTAGGGCTATGGTTATGTTTAGGTTTATGGTAAGGTTTAGGTTTTGAGCTAGGGTTATGGTTATAGCGAGGGTCAGGTTTAGGGTTATGTCTAGGTTTAGTTTTCTGTTTAGGGTTAGGGTTAGGGTTATGGCTAGGGTTACCAATAAATTTAGCGTTAGTTTTAGTGTATTTTGTAGCTTTAGAGCTAGGGTTAGTGCTAGTGTTAAGGTTAGGATTAGGGCTAGGGTTAGGGTTAGATTTACAGATAGTTCTAGGTTTATATTTATGGTAAGTGTTAGGCTTTGAACTATGGTTGGGATTAAGGCTAGGGTTAAGTGAGGATTAGGGCTAGTGTTAGGCTTATGGTTATGCTTAGGGCTAGGTTAAGCCCTAGGATTAACTCTAGGTTTGTGTTTGGTTTAGGCATAGGGTTAGTGCTGTGGGTAATGAAAAAACTTGGGTTATAATTAGGGCTAGTTTTAGGGTTAGGGTTATTGCTAGAACTAGTTTTAGGTTTATATTTTAGGTTAGGGTCAGTATTAGAGGTAGGTTTACTGTTAAATGCTGGTCAGTGTTCAGGTTAGAGTTAGGGATATAGCCAGAATTAGGACTAGGTTTAGGTCTAGGGGTAGGGTTAGTGTTTGGGTTAGTGTAAGGGTTATTGTTAGGGCAAGAGTAGGTTTTTGTTTATGTCTAGGGCTAGAGTTAAGGCTAGATTTAGGATTCGATTTAGGTCTAAGACTAGTGGTAGAGTTAGGTTTAGTAATAAGTTTATTGGTAGTACCAGTGTTATAGTTTGGTCTAGGGTTAGGGTAAGGTTTATACATAAGTTTAGTGCTAGTGTCAGAATAAGGGTCAGGGTTAGCATTAGAGTTTGAGATAGGATTAGAGCAAAAATGAGGGCTAGGATCAGAACTCTTAATGGGGTTAGGATTTGGGTTAGCCTAAGGATTAGGGAAATGTCTAGGGTTACCATTAGGTTTAGGGTTTTTCTTAGGGTAAGGAATAAGGTTAGAGCTAGGGTTAGGGTTAGAGTTGGGGTTAGGGTTATAGCTAGATTTAGAGCTTGGATTAGCGCTTGTTTTTGTTGTAGAGTTAGCGCTATGGTTAAGGCATTGGCTAATGTTACAACTAGGGTTACATTTAGGGTTAGGGGTAGGGGTAGGGCTAGTGTTAGGGTTAGGTTTAAGGTTAGGATGATATTTAGAGCTAGGGTTAGTGTTAAGATATGAGACAGGGTCAAGGGTAGGGTAAGGACTCGAATTAGCTAGGGTTACTGTTAGAATTTTGTTTAAGGTTAGGATAGGGTCTAGAGCTAGGGTGAGCATTAGGATATGAGTCTGCTTCATTGTTAGATTTAAGGTTAGAGATAGCAGTTGAATTTAGGGCTGGGTTAGGTCTAGATATAGTTTTAGAGTTGTTTAAGTTAAGGTTTACGGATAGGGCTGAAGCCAGATTTAAAGTTAGGTAGTCAGTGTAGTTAGGTAAATCGGGTCTAATACCGAGTGAAATCTAAAATGGAGGCCATGCTGGCAATGATTCCGGGAAACGCAGGACAACTCAAGGAATGTTAATGAAGTCCTAAAAGGCCCTAGGCCAAAGTCCACCTCAAAGAAATGTTAATGAACAGCCCCCAGCAAAAAGGTGCTGACTCAGAAGTCCTTCCTGACCTGATTACTTCTTTGGCCCACCTGTGTCCCACCCCTCGGTCCTTCCCACCTACATTCCATTACTGAAAGAACTATAAAAAGGGAAGACAACATCCCTTCCACGGATTCCACCTCTTGGGTCCCCTTCTTCCTCCGGGAGAAGTCTTTTCTGCTGTCCTTTAATAAACTTCTAATTTCTACTCTGACCTTGCCTCGGCGTGCTTCTTTGGTGTTATTCTTCAACATTGGGGAAGCAAGAACTCGTCACCGGTCAACAGCGGTAACATATTGGAGGTCCCAGACCGAGATTCTACACCGAGGTAAGTGCACACACCCCATGTCTGTTTGAGGTGCATCTTTCTCTCTCTTTCTTTCTGGAGGGTAAGGTGGGCACCCGACGGCTACTTAAACGCAATTAGTGCAGCCGCCACTCTTCAAGACTCGGGTGAGAGGTTTCCCGGCCTAGGCAGCTCTCAATCACCTGTTCAATACAGAGCAGGCATGTTGGGTTCTGCCAAAGCCGCTTCCAACTTTTCTGTCTGGGCCTGGAGAGCAATTGGCGTGAGTACACAGTGTCCCGAATCCCGATCTGCCTCGGATGCGTGGAGGTGGAGGAAGGAGTTTGGAACAACTGCGGAATTCCGGTCTGGGCTACACTCAGAGGATTCCTAAGGTTCCTTTCTCTTGAGCCCCCTCCCGACAGCCCTCAGGGGTATCTAGGGTGATCGGTAGATGAATGGCACTGAGGGAAAGCCCCAATCACATTTGCCTCCGTATGGGCCATGCAACACTCCCAACCCCGCATCCATTCCTCCTGGATGCTCCCCTTCCTTCGCAGGTCAGAAATGTTAGCAATTCAGGTTGTAGGACTGAGAGAAAGGCATGGGATAATTAGCAAAATCTGCCCAGGTTCCCTAAGATGCATAGGTAAATTTCACTAGTCTGTTTTATCGCCCCAATGTTTAAAATGCGTTGTGTTCCCTAAGCTGCTAGAGAGGCATTTTTAGAATCAACTCCTCCCATAATCTGCTACCTTACAACCAGTAGATATCCCTTAACACTTAGTAGGCTCCTTTAGTCTACAGAGCAAAGGCAACAAAAGAGCACAGGATTCTCTTTTGCAATGGGTTTTTAGTGGCCGGGAGGATAAGCAATAATGCCCTTAAGTCTGAATCCTCCCAGGGTCTCTGGCACAGGGCAAACTGAGACCCTAGCACTTTGCTAAAGGGGACCAGAAACCCCTTGGCAAAGCAAGGTGAGAGACGGGTTTTCTGGACCTTTTAGGAAGCTCAAGCTTAGGGAGACGTCCCTAATGAGAACAGTTTTCTCTGGCGCGGCGTGGGCGCCTGAGTCCTGTTCTTCTCACTCAGACGGGAGCTTCTTTCTCTCCAATATGCCAGGTGCACCACTAGCCTGCGTATTGAAAAATTGGGATAAATTTGAACCTCAGAACCTCAGACGCTCAAGAAAAAGCACCTCATTTTCTTGGCCTGGCCTCAATACAGACTCTCTGATGGAGAAACCTGGCCACCAGAGGGAAATATCAATTTTAATACAATTTAACAGTTTGATAAAATTTACAAAAAAGGAAATGGTGTGAGGTGCTGTATGTTCAGATTTTTCTTTGCTCTAAGGGAAAATCCTAAATTATGCCAACAGTGTAAAGTAGACTTAGCTATGATATCTGCCATGAAGAGAAAAAATCTTGGACTCACTGAGGAAAAAGAATCAAGAGAAAAATTTGGGCCGATCAAAGTACATTCCCCCCTTCCCCCTTCAAGACCTAAGGCAGATAAAAACTGACTCTCCTGGAAAGTTAGGAGATAAGCCAGATTGCCTGGGATTGGATCTATCCAAAGGAGCTAATCCTGTAAGTAAAAGGGAAACTGAGGATTCCCAGCAGCTGCCAGAGCCATTTTCGCTTTGGGGAATTTCCTCATTCTTCCCTGCACTGTAAGGATTGCTCCATCTCTGTCCACTTAAGTCAGTCACACTGAGACCCTTGATTTTACACCTATAGCTGCCCCTATGTGAAAACATCTGGTCCACTCATGAGGAAATCTATGGTGCCACTGATAAGAGTCATAATTAAATGGAAGTTCAAAACCTGGAGAGATTTTTTTCTTATCTGGTCTCTCTATTTTAAAGGTTATTATAGATTGTTTCTTGGGGATGATTTTGGCTAAATGTGTGTCTAAAAGATGATTTTTTTATTGTAACATCTGGTATCTAAATGAGTTTGAAGCATTGCATAATCTTGCAGTTAAAAGTTGGGGTTAGGTAATTGTTTAGTTTGATTTCAGATAATTCATGCCAGAGAACTTAAATACTTAGGATAGAAAATTAAAAGAATTCTACTTCCAAGTTGGCAAGTAACTCCCAATCATTTAGTTTTATTTTGAACTGGGTAGCCTGAGAAGATTTCACTAGGTATACCAGTGCATTAACTTGGGCAAGGATAGTAAATTATGATATGGTATCTGTTCCCCTCAGTGTGTAAGATTTAGGAAAAATGTTGAATTGGAACGTTGGTCTGGCTTATTGAAATAACATTGAATAGCAACAGTCTTAAATTTTTAAAGCTTAATTTTGGATATACATGGTAGTGTGTGGTTCTCTTTTAAGATTTTTTCAGGTGATTTAATGTAACTTAATACTACTTTAGGAACTTCAGAACAAAGGAAGTGACTTAATGATCCTAAAGAAATTTCTTCTGATGGTAGAGATCCTATTTTCAGTTTTGTGTGAGCAAGTTTTTCTAGTGTAGGAAAATGTAAAGGTATGAAATTTTGTAAATTGTATCTTAAACTTGTATCATAATTTTCAACATCCAAACCTGAAAATTGTGACTTATGGTTAAAATGCCTTAGACATGAGGTTTCTGCTCAGAATTCCAGTTTTCCCAGTTCCTTCCAGACCTCAGCCAGGACTTAAGTTGATATGCAAATAGAAGAAGCCTGGGGCTCAACAGAGGGCAGATTTCAGGCCCAAGGAAAAAAAAAAGAGTTAAAGTATCTTTTTACCTGAACTCAAACTAGACCCCAACCAAAAAGTAAATTATATGGTATTTACTAATTACTGGCCAGTCATCTTTTTTTAGGACTCTTGCTTTTTCTTAGATTCTGTATTTTTTTGAGCTCATGATTTTAATCCCACAGATGGGTTAATGTTTTTCTGATAAGTTCTAATTTTGATCAACTGAAGTTTTTTTAAACATTGCAATGAGATTTCACCTGAGAAAGCTACAAGGCCTTTACTATTGTGTTGTGTTACACTTGTGTTACGTGTTGTATGTCGGTATGTCTGTGTGTATGTCCATATATCATGCAGGGATATGACAATTGACAGATGAGGAGCGCTCATGAAAAATTTTTTAAAAAATGGATCCAAATATCTTTGATTCACGTGATTCAAATGGTTCAATTTAAATTTGGCAAATAGATAAAAAAGAGGTCTTAAATTAAGTTTTTCTAGGTGTTCAAAAAGGCCCTAATAAAATGTTAAATCTGCTTAAATTCAAAAAATTTACACGTATTGTTTCAAAATGTGAACAGAAGGAGGTTAACAGATAAAAGAGAGAAACTAGAAGGTTCTAGATATGGATTTAATAGAGGGAAAATGTGTTTCTGGATAAGAGTCTATATGATTAAGTAATTAAGAGAAGTAAATGATATAAAAAGGTCTGTGTAAGTTGCTTATAAGTGTAAGTTTTTGAACAAGTAATCTTAAAGAAATTAAACAGCTGGTCAAACAAGTGCTGTTGTTTCAGAGAATGGTGCCATATTTCTTTAAAAAGCTAAACTTGGTTAATATAAAAACATCAATGTAATTGTGGTGTTAATGTGTCCATATCTTCCAGGTATACAAGTCTGTAAGGTAGAAGTCTTAAAAGAGCATTATATCAAGCTGGTGTTCTAAAGTTGTATGGTAATTTTAGGCTTAAAAAGAAAAAAACATGTTGGAGATTTATTTATATCATTTGTGTTCTATAACTGGACTTGTTATCAATAAGATATGTAAAGTTCTATGTTACTTTTTACACTGAGATACAATTTAAATGTATTTTTAAGTTAATGAGAGCCTAATCTGTGTGAAGGTTTTATTGCAAAACACAAAAGTACATTACTACTTTTCTACAAAAGGTTAAAAGCTTTCAGCTTTTCTTTAATTCATGTTTTAGGTGTGATATTATATTGTGTTAGCTAATATCCATGTAAACTTGAGCAACAATTTATGTAGGCTTTGTAAAATGATGTTTAAAAAGCAAAGATCAGTTTCAGAACTACAGTACTTAAGATTTATGAAGAACCCCGCCTTACTTGAGATAAGGCTCTGTCCCATCTCACTACATGTGAAAGTGACTATGAAAGAAGTAGGCCAGATTTCAGTACAGTTAAAGTTGTGTCCAAAAGTAGTTTTTTGCCAAGATTAACAGGGAATTATGATGTATAACCCTGCCAGAATTCAGGGTAGCTATTATATAAGCTAAATGTTTTTACTCTTGATAATTTTATTTTGTAGTTTGCTTATAGATGGTTTAAGGATTGCCTGTTAATGTTTTAAGGAGGTACTGCTTTAAGAACACACAACCTGAGTCAACATAAGGAGTTATCACCTACAGGATAGAGAGACATTAAAGCCCAGTGCTCTTAATATAAGGCTGTTAACTTATTTGCTGGATGTTTAAGATTAAGTTTTAAAATTAAAGTTAAATTTAAAGGGCCAAGAAAACCAATATTTGGCTCTTGCCCTCTAAGTCAGTCTGAATCAGGGAATAGGGGACTTCTCCGAAGAGCTTTGCAACTCTAGGCCACATAACCTCCCGATCAGGGAGATTAATGAGACCAGTGGAGGACAGAAAGCCAATCAGTGCATTTGCTGTGAAGAGGAGGGTCATCAGAAAAGGGAGACATCCCTGATGCTTCCAAGGGAAGCCACATGGTCAAGCAAGGCCTGGACCCATCCTAGCGCAATGGCACTAGCAGAACTGAGAAGCTGCTGTGAATTTCCCGAAGACTCCCAGGGAAGCTCAGCTGACTGTTAACAATAGATAAAAACAAAAGTCAGTTTGACTTGCTTCATCTTAAACACTTAGCAAAGACAGTCAAAGCCAAAGCACAGCTGTTCCTGGACATTTTAAATAATAATAATAATAGTTAAATGTAACTTCCAAAAATAAGTAAACTGGAGGCTACAAAAGAGATTCTCAGACAGAAATGCCTGATAACTATCAAAAGGAACTGCCAGAGTAGTTTTTAGTTTAAGGCCTTTATTTCTAACCTACACAGGTAGGCTTAGTGTTTGCAAGTATGGTTATCCAGCCCTAAGTAACTTAATTAAAGATTTCTCTATTAGACACAGAGGTCATACTAGTAAAAGGATTTTGCAAGATCAGATGACATTAAATTATTAAACTATATCTTAAGGGAAAGGACATCTGTAACCCTAAAAATTAAATGTTGTGTTTACATCCCTGACATTTCTCGCAATGTGACAAATATCCTTAAAGATTTACATGCTCAGATAGAAGCCATGTCCTCAGCAACTTTGTCATGGAAACAATATCTTATCTCCTAGTTCTTGGTACTTCCTGGTGGAAAACATTGTTAATCTTTGTCTTTGCCATCATACTCATTGGTATATTGCTGTGCTATGGCATTTTGCTGCATCAATATGGTTCCAGTACTAATGAATTCTTGTTTCTCTTATAGACCATCCATCACTCAAATGGCCCTCCAGCCTATTACTTCTCAATCAGACTTCTATCATGGACCACTCGATAGACCCGATTTTTAAAGGGGGACTCCAAACTGCTTGCCCCACACCGTCCCTTTTCAGCCTGAAGAAGCCAGAGAGATTCTCTTCGCCCCCCTTCCTTACAGCAGTAAGGAGTTCCCAACTTAGAGGGGGGAATGAAGCCAGATTTAAAGTTAGGTAGTCAGTGTAGTTAGGTAAATCGGGTCTAATACCGAGTGAAATCTAAAATGGAGGCCATGCTGGCAATGATTCCGGGAAACGCAGGACAACTCAAGGAATGTTAATGAAGTCCTAAAAGGCCCTAGGCCAAAGTCCACCTCAAAGAAATGTTAATGAACAGCCCCCAGCAAAAAGGTGCTGACTCAGAAGTCCTTCCTGACCTGATTACTTCTTTGGCCCACCTGTGTCCCACCCCTCGGTCCTTCCCACCTACATTCCATTACTGAAAGAACTATAAAAAGGGAAGACAACATCCCTTCCACGGATTCCACCTCTTGGGTCCCCTTCTTCCTCCGGGAGAAGTCTTTTCTGCTGTCCTTTAATAAACTTCTAATTTCTACTCTGACCTTGCCTCGGCGTGCTTCTTTGGTGTTATTCTTCAACATTGGGGAAGCAAGAACTCGTCACCGGTCAACAGCGGTAACAGGGCCATTGCTCAGTTTTGTTTTACTGCTAGTGTTAGGGTTAGGGCTAGTTTTATGATTAACATTAGAGTTGGGGCTAGTTTTAGTGCTGGACTTAGGCTTATGTTTATTTTTAGTTTTAGAGTTAGGGTTAGACATAGGGATAGGGCAAGGCCTAAGGATAGGTCAAGCATTAGTGCTAGGTTTAGGGCTAGGTTTTGGGTTATGGTAAGCAATAGGGTTAGAACTAGGGATAGGGCTTGTGTGAAAGCTAGAGTTAGTCTTAGTGCTAGGGTTAGGGATTGGTTTAATTATAAGGTTACCTGTAGTGTCAGTATTAGTGTTTGCTCTATGCTTAGGTTCAGGTTTAGACCTAGGGTTATTGTTTGTGTCAGAATAAGGGTCAGGATTAGTGTTATGATATGGGATAAGATTTGAGCTAGAATGAGGGCTAGAATCAGGACTATGAAAAAAGTTCAGATAGTGGTTAGCCTAATAATTAGGAATAGTTCTATGGTTACTATTAGTGTTAGAGTTGTTCTTAGGGTAAGGCATAGGGTTAGAGCTAGGGTTACGGTTAAAGCTAGATTTAGAGAGTGAATTATGGCAAGTTTTTGTTGTAGGGTTAAGGCTATGGTTAGGGTAATGACTAATGTAAAAACTAGTGTTACCGTTAGGGTTAGTTTTAGGGTGAGGTTTGAGGATAGGTCTAGAGTTAGGGTTAGGTTTAAGGTTAGAGTGATATTTAGAGCTAGGGTCAGTGTTAGGACATGAATGAGGGTCAGAGTTAGGGTGAGGACTCGAATTAGGGGCAGGGTTACTAGTAGGTTTCAGTTTAAAGTTAGGATGGGTTCTAGAACTAGGGTGAGCATTAGGATATGAGTCTGTGTCAGGATTACTTTTATGGTTAGTTTATGAGTCGAATTTAGGGCTAGGTCTAGATGTAGTGTTAGGGTGGTTTAAGTTAAGATTTAGGGTTCGGGCTATTGCTTGGTTTTGTTTCACTGGTAGGCTTAAGGTTAGTGCTAATTTTATTATTATCATTAGGTTTAGGGCTAGTGTTAGTGTTAGGGTTAAGCTTAGGGTTAGGGTTAGATTTAGATTTAGGGTTAGATCAGGTTTAGTGTTAGGACTGAGGATAGTGCAAGGGTTAGGGCTAGGGTTAGATTATGGTGTGTAATAGGGTTAGAAATAGGGCTAGGGCTAGTGTGAGTTAGAGTTAGTCTTAGGGCTTGGGTTATGAAAATGGATAAATTAGGGCTAGGATTAGGGTTTTGGTTAGTGTTCAGCTTAAATTTAGAGTAGGGTTTGTGTTATTAATAAGTTTAGAGTAAGGAATAATGTTATAGCCAGGTATAGAGGTAGGGTGATATATACTAGGATTAGTGCTAGGATGAGGGCTAGTGTTTTTTTGTTTTTTTTTTTTTGTTTGTTTTGTTTTGTTTTGTTTTGTTTTAGGGTTAGGGCTAGGATTTGGGGTATGGCTAATTTCAGGTCTAGAATTAAGTTTAAATATAAATTTATTTTTAGGATTATGGCTACATTTAGTATAAGTGTTAGGTTTAGGGGTAGGTTCAGGTTTGTGGCTAGGGGTATTATTATGGACAAGGTCTGGGTTAAGGTTTGGGATAGGTTAAGGTCTAATGATAGGGATTGAATTAGCATTAGGGTTAGGGTAAGAGTAATGATAGGGTTAGTATTAGGGTCCAAGTTAGGTTTAGGGTTAAGGATAGAAATAGGACTAGAGATAGCATTAAGTTTAGACATTGGGTTAGCATTAGGGTTAGGGTTATATTTACAGTAATGGATAGGGTTAGACTAGGGTTAGGGGTAGGGATATGGTTATGATTAGGGCTAGGGTTATATTAGACTTTGGTTAGGTTTAAAGCTCAGGATAGGGCTCAGATTATACCTGGGTTTCTGGTTAATTTAGTGCTAGGGTTAGAGTTATGGCTAATGTAAGTACTAGAGTTATATTTAGGTCTAATTTTAGGGTTAAGTTTAGGGCTAGATTGAGTGTTAGGTTTAGGTTTATGGTCAGGGTGATGTTTAGAGCTAAGGTTAATGTTAGTGTCAGAGTCAGGGTCAGAGTTGGTTTAAGGGTTTTGCTTAAAACTCGAATTAAGTCTAGAGTTAGGGGTAGGTGTATGGTTAGGGTTTTGTTTAGTTTAAGGATTAGTGTTAGAGCTATGGCTCAGTTTTATATTAGGCTAGGGCTAGGTTTATGTCTAGTTTTAGGACTAGTGTTAGGCTTAGGGCTAGTGTTTGGGTTAGGCTTGGGCTTCATGTTAGGGTTAGATGTAGGGATAGGTGTTGATCTAGGGTAAGTGCTAGGCCTAAAGATAGGGCAAGGGTTAGGACAATGGTTAGGGCTAAGGTTAGGTTTATGGTAATGAATAGGGTTAGAACTAGTGATAGGGCTGTTGTGAGAGTTAGATTTGCCTTATGGTTAGGTTTAGGGTTATGGTTAGGGATAGGGCTAAATTAGGGCTAGGGTTAGTGTTAAGGTTAGGCCTAGGTTTAGGATTAGATTTAGGGTTATATTTAGTTTAAAAAAATGGGTTATAGCAATATTGAGGTCTTGGCAAGTGTTAGTATTAGGGTTAACTCCAGGGTTACAGTTAGGGTTATGATTAAGGCTACCGTTTAGGGCTAAGATGAGGGCTAGTGTTTGTATTAGGTTTAAGGTTAGTATTAGGTCTGGGTTAATGTCAGGTCTAGGGATACAGTTAGGTATACATTTAGTATTAGGTTTATGATTTTGTCCAGTATAATGGTAAGGATTAGGCCAAGTGTCAGTTTTAGATCTAGGGTTATTATTAGAGTCTGAATCAAGGTTAGGGTTTAGGTTATGGTAGGGTTTAAGTTTAGGCAACAAATTAGCATTAGATTTAGTGTCAGGGTAATGACAGGGTTAGGTTTAGGGTTTAGTTGTGATTTAGTGTAATAGATAGGGTTAAGTTTAGGCCTAGTGTTAGCATAAGGGTTAGGGTTATCATTAGGGTAATGGATAGAGTTAGACCTAAGTTTGGGGCTAAGGTTATGTATAGAATTAGGTATATTGTTTGAGTTAGTGTTCCTTTTCAGTTAATAGTTAAAACTAGGATAAGGACTCTGTTAAAGGCGAGGTTTGGGGCTAGGTTTAGGCCAGGGTTAAGACTATGGCAAATGTACAAAGTAAGGTTATGATTAGTGCTAGTTCTATGGTTAGGGTTAAGGTTAGGTCTTGTGTTAGGAATAGATTTATGGTTAACATGATTTTAGAGCTAGTTTTAGTCTTAGGATCAGAGTCAGGGTTAGAGTTAGTTTTCAGGTTAGGGTTAGGACTAGCATTATAGATAGGGTTAGGGATTGGGTTAGGGCTAGGTGTAAGGCTAGGGTTTGGTTTAGGTTAAGGGTTAAGATTATGGCTATGACTCAGTTTTGTTTTAGGGCTAGGGCTAGGGTTAGGGCTAAGTTTAGGTCTAGGTTTAGGGTGATGGTAAGGGAAATGATTAGAACTACCCTATAAATCTAAGGCAAGAGTTATAATTAGTCATAGGGCTAGGGTTATGTTTAGTGTTAGGGATAGGGCTAAGTTAGGTCTGGGATTAGGGCAAGTGTTAATGTTAGGGTTAGGCCTAGGTTTAGTGTTAGGGTTTGGATTATGGTTAGGTATAGGGTAATGGATGAGATTATACCTAGTTTTAGAAATAGGGGGAGGGTTAGGGTTAGGATTAGGGTTATGATGAAGGTGAGGATTGTGTCTAGGATGTGAGTTAAGGTTTGAGCTAAGGTTAGAACTAGAATTACAGCTAGGGCTAATGTCAGGTGTGGTGTTAGAGTTAGGGATAGTTTTAGGGTTAGGCTTACATCTAGGTCTATTGTAAGGGTTAGGTTTATGATTAGGGACAGTTTTAGAGCTAGGCATATTATTACGGTCAGAGTTAGGATTTAGGTTAGGTTATGGTTTATGGTTAGGGCTCGAATTACATTAGGTTTAGTGATAGGTTTATGATAGTTTTAGGTTTAGGGTTAAAGTTAGGTGTAGGCTAATGGATAGGGTTAGGGATGGGCATAGGATTAGGGATTGGCCAAGGGTTAGCATAAGGGTTAGGGTTATCCTTAGGGTAATGGATAGGGTTAGAGCTAGGGTTAGGGCTAGTGTTATGCTTAGGATTGTGTCTAAGATTAGGCTTAGGCTTAGGGTTAGGGCTATTGTTAGCATTAGGTTTAGCTTTAAATTAAAGATAGGGTAGGGCTTGGATTAATGCTAGATTTTGCAATAGGTTATGGCTGTGACTAAATTAAGATCTTGTTATTATTGGGGCTGGTTTTAGGGTTAATGTTAGGGCTAGGTATAGTTTCAGGGTTAGGGTGATGTTTAGAGCTGGAGTTAATGTCATTGTCAGGGTCAGTGTTCAGATTAGGATTATGGTTAGAATAAAAGAATTTGGACTAGGTTTAGTTCTAGGGAAAGAGTGTTTGGTTTAGGCTAAGGATTATTATTTGGGCTAGGTCTAGTTTTTTCTTTAGGTCCAGGGAAAGATTAATGGCTAGATTTAGAATTAGGTTTAGGTCTAAGTCTAGTGTTAGAGTTTGGTTTAATGTTAGAAAAGGTTTAGACTTACAATTAATGTTAGGGTTAGAATAAGGGTCACAGTTAGGGTTAGGGTTTGTGTTATGGTTAGAGCTAGAATGAGGGCTGGAGTTGGGACTAGTAATAGGATTAGGGTTTGGGTTAAGTTAAGGATTAGTGTTAGAATTAGGATTAGAATTAGTGTTATAGGTTGGCTTAGGGTAAGGGATAGAGTTAGAGCTAGGTTTAGGGTTAGGGTAAGTGTAAAAGCTACGTTTAGAGTTCAGATTAGGGCTAGTTTTTGTATTAGGATTAGTGCTATGTTTAGAGTAACAACTAATGTAAGAACTAGGGTTACAATTAGGGTTAAATTTAGGG